ACCTATGTAGCAAGCGTTAGGCCAACAACTCCCAAACCAGACGGCTTTAGGGTGTTAAGTGTAGAGACACTCCAAAGGACTTAATAGCTCAAGTTGGAAAGGCTACGAACTCTAGCTAACCATGTTTATTACAAATTTTTTTTTTTTTTTTTTGAATGACCGTGCAATGTTTAAGTCCTTTAAGCTTTCTAACCAACCCTTGTAGCAAGCGTTAGGCCAACAACTCCCAAACCAGACGGCTTTAGGGTGTTAAGTGTAGAGACACTCCAAAGGGCTTAATAGCTCGAGTTGGAAAGGCTACGAACGTCAACTGGTCATCATTTTTTTTATTTTTTTTTATTTTTTTAAATCATGCCAAAGATATTCATCTATCAGGTTCATCAAATCAGATTAACTAGGCCAAGGTCAAGGTTGATCAAGTTGCATGCCTCACAGTTAAGTTTCCAATGTGCATCTGTGCATTGTGAAGCTTATAAGAGTGTAAATCCAGCAAGAATCTAATTGAAACATTTATACAGACTAATTTGAATCTACATGATCATTTCAACTCAAATTTTTCTTTATTTTCAAAAATTTCAATTGCTTCTATACACAAGGTATTAAACATATGTTTCATCTCCGACAAGTGTCAAGTTATACTATCATTGCTTAGCAAAAATTATGAAACCAAAAATATGCCAAGAATGCTTTGATGCACCCCCAAACTTAAACTACACAGTGTCCTCAATGTGGGACATGGATGTAAGTTAGAGACAAAAATGACAAAGAGTATAAAAAGGAACAACAATACCCAGGGGGAGGAAACGGCATTTTGATACAAAAACCCCCAAACTTGAAATGGACTGCGCAACCTGGAGAGCATCACGAAGAACAAAAAGAAACAACCACAAACAGTATTAATAGCACAAGCATAAAAAACAGAAAGAGAATGTACCGAAAGTTAACAGAACAGAAAGAATTTGCATTGCAAAAAGAGTTTACGTGATTACAAAAAGAGCTGTACAGGGATCATGTCTACTAGAGCAACCTATACATAGCAAATTCTTACAGTTCAAAAGGAAAACAAAAGATACAAGAGAGATAGTTACATATGAAACAAAAAGATAAGGTCCACACTCGCAACAAGCTATGGTCCAGAGGGTAAACGGGCGAGGATGGAATGGAGGAGAGATTGAGTCTTACGCCGTTCAGCGAAAGCCAAACGACGTTCCTCAGCTGCGACACGACGGTCTTCAGCAGCAAGAGGACGATCTTCTTCGGCACGTGAAGAAGTCTCACACAGAGTCTGAGTGCATGCGGACAAAGAATTCTCAAAACGATCCAGTCGCTCATGAATACCGGCAATGCTAGCCCGGATGAAAGCCTGGTCCTGGTGAGAGTCGACCGGAGGCTCGACCCTTGCAGCGGCTGCTGCAGTGGAAGCAGCCTCAGAAGGAGGAGGAGGAGGAGCGTGGATGAACAGGGGAGCAGGAGGCTGAGGGGTACTAGAATGGCTAAGAACATTGATCCACCGGCGCTGGGTAAAAATTTTAATCTTGTCGCCTTTTGGTTCATGGGGAGGAACAACGAAACCCTTGTCCTGAAGGAGCCGAGTGATGAAAAACGGCAAAGGCAATTTCCGATTTTCAACTCGCGGAACCCGTGTATTATGAGCATCATGCCAAAACTTCATAAATGTGGTCCAAATGAGCTCTGGGATGGAGAACCATTGGCCTTGGTCCATGGCATATAAGGCTTGCAGAAGGAGGCCCCGACGCTCGGTGCTATGCACCAAAGGGCAGACATTGTGCTTGCAGACAGTGTCAATGAACCATAGGCGTTCCGGAAGATTGGTTTTGCAGATAAAAGACTGGGGCCTAGTAGGATCGTCAATAGTGCAAATAGCAGCGGCAATCTGCACCACAGTTAATGTATCCGGCTCCTCATATAAAGGGAGATTCTCACGATTGACAATGTCATTGGGGCACTCAATGGGGTAACCAGAAACCTGAATGATGTCAGTCATAGTGAAAGCATAGGTGGTGCCATCAATGGATGTAGTGAGAGAAATGGGTGGCTCTTCAGGGCATTGGAGATTCTGATAGAAGAGGCGCACTACACGGGGGTAGGCAACCCTGGCAAGGGGCGCGCAAATGTGCTGCAGACGCCGGTTAGTCAATTCGGCTACAGCCCACGAAGTTGTGGGTAGAATGTCAAAGGCATCCGTGAGCGGAAATGAGAGTTTGTAGTTGAGTTGTTTGCGATCCCAAGGATCACGTGGTCGCTCACAATTGACAGCACGGGCACCCGAAGAGGGTCTAGGAGGGCGAGAAGGACCGGCACGAGACATTTAGAGAGGTGGACTTGGTTGAGGAATTTCAGCGAACACCTGGCGTGCACCACAAAAAGGAGAAGGTGAAAATGAGTGGGGTGGAGGATGAAACCCAAAAATTTTTGGCCCTGCAATTGTAATAACGACTCCCAAACAATCACAAATCTCCAGTGCATACAAGCCCATCCTCCATTGATACCAAAAATGTGAAAAAGAATGAGAAGGAAGAAACTTACCCCACAATGGAGAACCAAAGGCCCTTTGTGCGTGGGATAAGTGGTGGGGATGGGTGGGAGGTGGGTGATGGTGCTTGGGTTAGAGGAGAGTGGAGAATAAGGTGGAGGAGGTGAAGTTGGGTTTGCATGGGGTGGTGAGGTTTGAGGGTGGTTTGGGTGTGGAGTTGGTGCTAGAGAGGGGAAGGTTTAAGGTCGAGGGAATGATGGTTTGGGAAGGGGGTGGGTTGATGAGAGAGAGACCGAGAGGGTGTGAGAAGTTGGGGAAGCTTGAGGAAGGGTGTTGGGGTGTTGTAGCAGGTTGGGTTGATGGTGGAGGAGAAGGAGTTGGCAGCCGAGGAGGGGAGTTGAGGTTGAGTGAGATTGGTGGGGCTTCGGGGTTTTTAAAAGAGAGGAGGTAAGCTTGGTTCGAGCACTCGAAGTTAGACTTCGAGTGCTCGAAAGATGGGCAGAGAGTTGGGAGTTGAGGGGTGAGAGGACTCAAGCAGTTGCGAGCACTCGAAGCTGGGCTTTGAGTGCTCGAAAATTTGGCAGTGGTGGGTTTGGGTGGTGAGCTTGATGGGGTGAGGTGGTGTTTTGGTTTTGGAGTTGGTGTGGGTTGGGGTTGAGAGGGGGTTCGAGCAAGGGAGGGTGGAAGTGGGTATGAGGGTTGGATGCCAGAGGAAGAAAGGTGGTGCATGCATGCATGGGGCTTGCATGCATGCACGCATGCACCTCCATGGTGGCTGAGAGGTGAGGTGGCGAGGTTGGTAGTTGATTTGTGGTGACACCTGCATGGTCGCATGCATGCATGGTGTGTGGTTAGGGTGCTTGGGTTAGTGAGTTGTGTGGTTGGATGTGGGTGCATGGAGGGATGGAGGTTGGGGATAACCGAGAGTTGGGAGGGAGAGAGTTGGTAGGGAGAGAGTGGAGAGTGGTTTGGATGCATGCATGCATGGAGCTTGCATGCATGCAAGGATGCCTTGGGTGGTGAAGGAGAGGTGGTTGGGATGGTTGGATGATGGTGTGAGGTGATGGAGCATGCATGGTTTGCATGCTTGGGTGGGGAGGTGTGGGTTGTTTGGTGGAGAGTGGAGAGGTGGGGATGCAGGGTGGTGAGGGGTGGGTTGGGGAATGCCGAGAGGAAGGGGGTGTGAGGTTGGTTGGTGTGTAAGGGGCATGGTGTTGAGGTTGGTTTGGGATTTCGAGCACTCGAATGGTGGCTTCGAGTGCTCCAAAAACAAGCAGAAGTCTCAGAATTGTGTTGTGGAAGTTTCGAGCATGCTGAAATTTTTGGTTGGAGGCTCGAGCACTCGAAATAGGAATTCGAGTGCTCGAGATGAGGACAGTAGCTTGGGATGAGGTTGAGAGGGGGGGTCAAGCACTCGGAATGGGTTTGAGAGAGCTCGAAAATTGCAGCCAAATTAAAGTGAAACTTGAAAACTAAAGCACTGGGCATGGAGCTTGAATGTTGTTGCATGGCCATGCATGAGCTTGCATGGATGGTGCAAGGAATGAGAGTATTAATACATGGAAGCATAAAGACTTGGAGCAGTGGGCTCGGATAGGAAAGAATGCATGCATCAGAGAAATGCATGCAACCATGCATTAAATATAGAAATGCATGAAATGCATGCAAGCAAGGAACGTCGCGGATCATGATAAAATTTTTGAGGAGCATGAAATTCCTATGCATGCAATGTTGATGGATTCAAGCCAATGTATAGGAAAAATTTAAACGTTGCAACATACTCTCATTCAAATAGATGGAAAATTTGAAAAGAACTCTCTATTTTTTTTTTTTTAAACTTTGCAATTTCTAAGGCATGGAAAAATTGCCAACTTTCAGAACATCACACAAAGCATGGGTGGATGTAAGAAAATTTTCAAACCTTTGCAACATCATACAATGCATGAATGAAATTTAGGGAGAAAATTTTAAACTTGCAAATTCATTCCATTCCAATGCATGGGAAATTTTGAAAGTTTTGTTTTGAAACTTTGCAATTTTTTCAACCTTTTAATCATTTCAAATGCATGAACAATTTTGAGAAAATTTTCAGACTTTTCATTAAAAATGATAAAAGATGCACATGAGTCGCATTTGAAAAATCTAATGAAATTGCTAGAAAGCGATGGAGACTTCCGGGAATGAAAATTGGAGTTGAGAAGGTCTAAGAAGCCAGTCTAAAAAAAAGTGGAACACAAGTGAAGATAATTCCAGGGAAAGTTAAATTTTGGCACTTCTACACCGTTTCCCAGGAAATTTGCAAGGCACGAGCAATTTCAAAGAAAAGGAAGCTTGGGAATTGAAAGAATTTCTTCCCTTGAGTTGCTAAATTTAATGTCGATAGCTAGACAAAGCTAGAGCAGGCACTAATCCTCATAAATTGATCCGTCAAGAGGACTTCCTCAACTTTTCGGGTTAGAATTGTGCCGTCAATGCAAGGCTTAAGCCTTTGGCCATTTACCTTGAAGAGTGATCCATTTGCAGGATCATGAAGTTCGATTGCTCCATGAGGAAAGACGGTAGTGACAATGTATGGACCATCCCATCTTGACCGGAGTTTACCGGGAAAGAGGTTCAAGCGGGAATTGAAAAGCCAGACCTTTTGTCCCGGGGCAAAAGACTTTTTGACGATATGTTTGTCATGAAAAGCTTTAGTCTTTGCCTTGTAAATTTTTGCGCTTTCATACGCGTCATTACGCAATTCCTCAAGTTCATTTAATTGCAACGCACGATTAGAGCCGGCTTGTTTGAGATCAAAATTGAACCATTTTATGGCCCAATAAGCACGGTGCTCTAATTCTACCGGGAGATGACATGCTTTGCCAAAGACAAGTCGATATGGTGACATGCCAATGGGTGTCTTATAAGCTGTCTGGTAAGCCCAAAGCGCATCGTTTAGCCTTACTGACCAATCTTTGCGGTCCGGTCTAAGCGTTTTTTCCAAAATGTGCTTAATCTCCCGGTTAGAAATCTCTACTTGACCACTCGTTTGAGGGTGGTAAGGTATAGCAACCTTATGAATGACGGAATACTTAGCAAGGACGGATTTTAGATAACGATTTCGGAAATGAGATCCGCCATCACTAATGATTGCTTGGGGCGTACCAAAACGACTAAAGATGTGAGACTGAATAAAATGGATCACGACTTTATGATCATCGGTTTTGGTAGCCTCGGCTTCAACCCATTTAGACACATAATCCACCGCTACAAGGATGTACTCATAGCCATAAGAAGATGGAAATGGTCCCATGAAGTCAATCCCCCACACATCAAAAATTTCAACAATTAAAATGTTGGTGAGGGGCATCATGTCTCTTCGGGACATGGATCCAACTTTTTGACATCGTTCACATGATTTGCAAAAATTGTATGCATCCCAGAACAAGGTAGGCCAAAAGAATCCGCTTTGAAGGACTTTGTTAGCGGTCTTTTTGGCACTGAAATGGCCTCCACAAGCAAGAGTATGGCAAAAATTTAAAATGCTTATGGCCTCGGTTTCAGGAATACATCGCCGGATGATTTGGTCCGGGCAATACTTGAATAGTTCCGGATCTTCCCAAAAGAAATGCTTGACTTGGGAGAAAAACCGGTCCCTCTCTTGTTTGGACCAATGGGCTGGAATTTTGCCAACCGCAAGATAATTGACAATATCCGCAAACTATGGAAGAGTAGAATGTGAAACTTGAAGAAGTTGCTCATCCGGAAAGGAATCACGGATGGCTGCGAATTCTGAAGATTTCTCAATAAGTAAGTGAGAGAGATGATCGGCGACAACATTGTCGGTCCCTTTTTTGTCCCGGATGTCAATGTCAAACTCTTGAAGTAAGAGGATCCATCGAATTAAACGGGGTTTTGTCTCTTTTTTCGCTAACAAATGCCTAAGAGCGGCATGATCTGAAAAGACGATGACCTTGGAGACAAGAAGATAAGAGCAAAATTTATCCAAGGCCTACACCACAGCTAGCAATTCTTTTTCAGTGGTGGTGTAGTTCAATTGGGCATCGTAGAGACTTTTGCTAGCATAATAAATGACATGCGGAAGTTTATCCACACGTTGGCCCAAAACCGCCCCTAATGCATAGTCGGATGCATCACACATGATCTCAAAGGGAAGAGACCAATTAGGGGGTTTCATGATTGGGGCGGAGGAGAGGAGAATGCGAAGTTTGATGAAAGCTTCCATGCAAGCGACATCAAAATTGAACGAAACATCCTTGGCTAAGAGATTACACAAGGGCCGTGAGATTTTGCTAAAATCTTTGATGAAACGACGATAGAATCCGGCATGGCCAAGAAAAGAATGGATTTGACGGACGGAATGCGGAGGAGGAAGATTAGAGATTAACTCAACTTTTGCCTTGTCTACCTCAATTCCCCGCTTAGAAATGACATGTCCTAAAACAATGCCTTCTTGGACCATGAAGTGGCTTTTCTCCCAACTTAGAATGAGATTCGTCTCTTTGCATCTTTGGAGCACAAGAGATAAATTTTTGAGACACGAGTCAAAGGAGGAGCCAAATACGGAAAAATCGTCCATGAAAACTTCCAAGAACTTTTCAACCATATCGAAGAATATGGACATCATGCACCTTTGGAACGTTGCCGGTGCATTGCATAGACCAAAAGGCATGCGTCGATAGGCAAAAGTACCAAAGGGACATGTGAATGTTGTTTTCTCTTTATCTTGGGGGGCGATTGCCACTTGGTTATAGCCGGAATAACCATCAAGAAAACAATAGAAGCTTTGGCCGGCTAACCTTTCTAGGATTTGATCAATAAATGGGAGTGGGAAATGATCCTTCCTAGTTGATGAATTGAGTTTACGATAGTCAATGCACACACGCCACCCGGTGGTGGTTCATTGTGGCACGAGCTCACCCGCTGAATTTTCAACAACGGTGAGCCCGGATTTCTTGGGGACAACTTGTGTGGGGCTCACCCACTTGCTATCAGAGATAGGATAGATGATTCCCGCATCTAGCAATTTGATCACCTCTTTCATTACCACTTCCTTCATGTTTGGATTTAACCGGCGCTGGACCTCTCTAGTAGGCTTTGCGTCATCCTCCATATGAATGCGATGCATACAAATGGAGGGGTCAATTCCTTTCAAATCTGCCACTGTCCAACCAATAGCTTCTTTATGCTCTTGGAGCACCGCTAAAAGGTTGGTCTCTTGGTCTTTTTGAAGGTCCGAGGCAATAATGAGCGGAAGGGTTTGCTTTGGACCAAGGAACACATACTTGAGATGGGCCGGGAGCGGCTTAAGCTCAAGTTGTGGCGGATATAACAATGATGGGACCGGAGGAGTGGTGGAAAGTTGGGGAAGTGGTTCTTTTGGAATTTTCCAAGGAGGTACATCCATGATAGCATTAATATCAAGCAAGGAATTGACTTCTTGAATGGCTTGATCAACATCAAAGTTTGAGAAGTCAAAATGGGACATGCAAGTTTCAAGAGGATCTTTGCTTAGAATGAAGGGGAGAGATTCTTCGACCACTTCATCAATGACATCCATAAGAAAACAATCATCCTCATTGGAGGGATGTTAAGTTGCATGAAAGATGTGGAGTTTGACTTGCATGTTTCCAAAAGCAATGTCCATTACCCCGGTTCGGCAATTAATTGATGCATTAGCCGTGGCTAAAAATGGCTTACCAAGGATCACGGGAATGTGCTTTTTTGGGTCATGGACCGGTTCCGTATCAAGAACCACAAAATCTACCGGGAAGTAGAATTTGTCCACTTTGATGATAACGTCCTCGAGAATACCCCGTGGATGCTTGACCGATCTATCGGCAAGTTGCAAAACCACGGAAGTCGACTTAAGATCTCCCAAACCAAGTTGTAGTTAGACTGAATATGGAATTAAATTCACACTAGCTCCTAAGTCAAGGAGGGCCCTCTCGATTTTGCGGTCACCAATGACGCAAGAGATTGTGGGGGCACCCGGATCCTTATACTTCGGAGGAGTGCTGTGCTGAATGATAGCACTAACATTTTCAGTCAACCTCACTTTTTTTGGCAAATGATTTTTTGAAGTGCGCTTTTGAGTGCACAAATCTTTGAGAAATTTCGCATAGGGAGGGATTTGCTTGATAGCATCCAAGAGGGGCAAGTTAATCTTCACTTGCTTGAAAACTTCCCACATGTCTTGAATTTTACAATTCTTGTTCCCAAAATGTGTCGACTCTTGAAGACGTTGAGGAAACGGAGCTTTTGGCTCATAAGTAGTTTCCATATTTGGGGTGACATGTGTGGGATTTCCGTGAATGGTATTTGGACAAGAATTTGGATTAGAAGAGCTTGAATTTGGATTTTTCAAAGGAGAAACTTCCTCACTTTTGTCTCCATCGACCTTGTTGTCAACCACTCTACCACTCCGAAGGGTGGTGATAGCTTGAACTTGTTCATGAGTCGGCCCACTCGGAGGAGGGGTTTCGTCAATCACATGCATTCCTCTAGGATTTTCAAAAGGTTGAGAAGGAAGCTTGCCCTTGTCCTTTTGAAGCAATTGATTCACCGAGTTAGCTATTTGGCCCACTTGATTTTCGAGATTAGCTATGGATTGAGTATGAGAGTGAACCATTTGGAGAGTAGGCTGCAAGGATGTCAAGAGTTGCTTGTTGGCATCCATTATTTGCTTATTTAATGATTCCATCATTTGCTTGTTTGCAGCTACTATCTCGTCAGTTGGACACACAGGAGGTTGATTGGAGACATTTGGATTGTAAGGAGGACGGTAGCTTGAAGAGGCTTGGAAAGGTCTACCTTGAAATTGAGAAGAGGGTTGATTTTGCCGCCCTTGGTTTTGGAAATGGGAATTTTGTGGGGCTTGTTGCCGCCACGAGAAATTCGGATGATCTCGCCAACCCGGATTGTAGGTGTTGGAATATGGATTGTTCCCGGGCCGCGAGAACATGGCATTAGCTTGATCTTGGTTGGGATTGGGAAATTGCTCCGGTGTGGGGCAATCTTCCGAGAGATGGAATGGACTAGTACATGAAGCACAAACTGAACTTGCCGAATTTTGAGACAATGAAGGAGGAAGATGTGGTGCCATCAATTGGTAGAATTTATGAGCGATGGCATCCACTTGAGATGATTCCTCCCTTATTGACTTTGGTTGACAAGGGTTGGTGTTGTTTGGAGTGGTTGCGGTCGAAGCCCTACGAGAATTGTGTTGAAGTGAATTTTCACTCAAATTCTCAAGTAAGGTCCAAGCCTCATCCGCATTCTTGGACATGAACATCCCACCACAAGAAGAATCAACCATGAATCTATAGGTTTCGGTCAAGCCAGCATAGAAAGCTTGCACTAATTGCCATTTTGGGATCAAATGATGAGGGCAAATTCGAAGAAGATCTTGTAGCCTTTCCCAAGTCTCATGGAGTTGTTCTCCGTCAACTTGAGAAAAACTTAGAATGGAACGCCTCATTTGGTTGGTTTTACTCACCGGATAATACTTCTTAAGAAATTCTTGTTGCAATTAAGCCCAAGAAGTAATAGAGTTGGGAGCGAGGGAGTTCAACCAATATTTTGCCCTATCCTTTAAGGAGAATGGGAAAAGATGGAGATGAAGTGCATTGTCCGGAAAACCTCTCAACCGGATGGTCGAACAGATTTCAAGGAACTCATCAAGATGCTTATATGGATCTTCATTATCAAAGCCATGAAATGATGGAAGCATTTGAATGGTACTAGACTTGATCTCATATTGAGCTGCATCGATGTTTGGCATCACTATACAAGAAGGAGAAGCATAGGTGGTAGGCATGAAATGATCTCTAAGAGTCCTTGGTTCTACATTAGGAATTTCAGCCCTTTCATTCCCTGGATTTCCTACGTTATCCCCCATTATATTGAATTCAGTTTCAAGGTCCCTTGTAAGAATGGGTTCCCTAAGGTTCCGTCTAAGAGTTCTTTCAAGTGAATTTATATTAATAGGCGAGTCAAGTGTGGGAAGAGAGAGTGACCTACGGCCAAACATCAACAATTCATAACAACATCATCACAACAAATCTTTATCATCACTCCACATACAATGTTCCCTTTCTCCTCAATTATCAAGACAGAAAATAAATGGCCACGACAAGGACCGAAGCTTGGAATTGAAAATACACAATTAAAATAGCCTCAACAAGGGCTTGCAATTTATCTACTTCTAAGCTTAACACATGCACGATATTCACAATTTGAAACTAGAAGTCATGAGACTTACCTGGGGTCCTCTAGACTTACAATTTGCTAGCTATCCCACGGCGAGCTTCGAGTCCCTAGAATCTTACAACACGAAGATGATCAAAACACACAAGGAATATTCACAAGACACAATATGTACAATCAAACTAAATTTAACCCTAAACTTTGGTTGCTAAACCATTTGCAAGTCCCCGGCAACGGCGCCAAAAATTGATCGGTTGATCAACTAACATCAACCTTCGCAATAGCACGAATCATTGTAAAATAGGGCTATTGGTCGGGTAAGTCGAACCACTGGGACTGCGCTAGTCTAAGGCAACCTAAGTGTTTAGAGTCATTCTTAGGATGATGAAGGGGTGTTCATAGAGGTTGTGTTTGTTGTCACTTAACTACAAATTCAGAATGCATACAACAATAAATTGAAGGAGATTAAAAGAGAAGATTTAGAGAAGGAAGTCTAGGGAAGTGAATCCACTCCAAACCTCTACACAAGCTAATTATATGATTGATTTGGGGAATTAATGTAGAAATGACCTTGATGAATAGCAATTCATGACTACTACATCATCTTCAAGAAATTCAATTAATTAAAATGTAAGAACAACCTATCAAAGCTCCACATGCTTAAATTACCTAAACTATGGTGCAATCCTCAACATGCTCACTAAGCTAGCGATTGTCAAACAAGTAATCAATTGATGAGTGCACATGATAACAAGTTACAAGGTTAATCCATCAAAAGAAATTCTTAAGCAATGAATTAACAAGCTACTCAAAATCATGCCATTAAAACCATTCCATAGTCTTAGCTCCATTGTCACTATGAAACTACAAGCCATACAACCATGAGATTAAATCATCTAAGACAAGAGTATTTAATGCAACATGACCTTTAGAACATTAAAACATCCATTACATTATGTAACATGCTCTAGATTATGGAACTAGTCAAATACACATTTCATTCCCCAAAATAAATCAAAAACTAGACATGCTTACAAGGAGGAGTTTCATCACCTCCCTAGATGGAGGTTTAGTTATCCATGGATACAAAAATGGAAGAAGAAGAAGAAGACTCCATCTCCATTTTCGAGCTCCTACTGTAGCACTCAAGAACACCCTCCTCCTTGCTCTCTTCTCTCTCCTCTATCTTGCTAAAATCAAAGATAGCAAATGTGTGGCCTTTGGTAGCTTTTTATTCTCCAACAACACCCTCTCTCTCTCCTCCAAGGAACACCTCCAACCACTTCATAAAGAAGGAAGATGGCATTGAGGAAACCAATGTGCAAGTGGCTGAAATTGAGCCATTTCTGAGTGCAATCTGCCTAATTTTTGAGCACTCGCAAAGTGATCTCGAGCACTCTTACTTAGTGCAATGTGCAACATGCTCCTCTTGCTCAGCGCTGACCTATTTTGGTAAAACTGCTATAACTTTGTGCCCCAAACTCTAAATCATGATCTGTTTGAAGATTTGGAGAGCTGATTCAGTGCTTTAAAAACTTTATGTTTTGATGAAGACCCAATTCTCAAGTCTGGTTAGTCGAAAATGAAGATCAAGACAGAATTGCATTGCTGCCAGGCAGTTCTGCGCACCTCTGGTAACAAGGCCATAACTCTCTGCTCCGAGCTCCGAATGACAAACCATTTGAAGATTTGGGAAACTGATTGACAGCTCTAAATCTTTCATGTTATGAGGAAAGTCCAGTTCTTGAGTTTGCTAGGTCGAAAATGGCGACAAAAGTCAGGATCACTGCTGCCAGAAATTCAGAAATGGCATCCTTTTTGTTCAAAATTCCACAAGGCATCATTTTTGCTTCCTTTTTGCACTTTAACCTGAAAATGCATAAAAACATGCAAATGGAGTTAATCTACATAAAATAATCAATTAATGGACTTTGTTACTGTACTTTAGGGCGCTTGAATATACAGTATTCAGCGCTTATCATGTATATGCGTATCAAGTTTCTGCTTCGATTGTAGTAGGTTAGAACTTATTCATGGGCCTGACCCACTTCTATTTTTCAGGTACTCGTCAGTATCAGACTTAGACCTGATCGTGCTGAGTAGAGACTACTACTTACTCTTCCGATGATGTAGGATTTCTATCCATGGTTTACTTTGGATGTTTTTAGTAGTTTCATTCCAGATTGGATTTTATTAGTGGTCCACTGGAGATGGATTCCCGAGTTGTTTAAACTATTGGAGGTTTTGGATTACTGGGATTTTAGTATTTATTTTTAAAGGATTTTATTTTAGTTTCTTTCAGCTGTTATATATTTATTTCTTATTTAAATTTGTATTCCGTGTTCGTTTAAAATATTAATTGTTGGATATTCCCTCGGGTTTGGACGTGGGCCTGATCAACCCATGTCTCGGATCCGAGGGGTATCACAAATTCATCACCATAACCTCCACATATGATGTTCCCATTCTCCGTAATTATCAATATAGAAAATAAATGGCCACAACAAGGACCGATGCTTTACAATGAAAAGAAACAATAAATAGCCTCGATAAGGGCTACATAACCTAACTATCTCTAATTTTAACCACATGCAAGATATTAACAATTTTTTTTAAAAAAAACTAGAAGCTCGAAAGACTTACCGGGAGTCCTCTAGACTTACCAATTTCCTAGCGTTCCCTCAGCGAGCCTTGAGTCCCTAGAATCTCAGAAGAACTTAAAACACAACAATACTTAAAACCACACAAGGAAATATTCACAAAACACAATATTAACAATCAAACCAAAGTTGATCCTTCAACCTCAGTTGCAAAAATGTTTGCAATCCCCGGCAACGGCGGCAAAAATTGATCGGTCATCGACTATCACAATAATAATCAACCCTTTGCAATAGCACAAATCATTGTAAAATAGGGCTATTGGTCGGGTAAGTCGAACCACTGGGATTGCTAGTTTACGGCAACCAAGGTCGTTAAATTCACTTT